AGAGGGGGAGCGGGTGCCACTCCTCGTCGGCGAGGGTTAGGCGGCGGCGGGCGGGAGGAGGGTGCTGCTGGGTGGTCTCGGGCTTGGGGGTTTCTACGGGCGCGGCCGGCGGTGGGGTGGAGGAGAAGAGGGCAGGGGAGGACGGCATCGGCGGCCTGACGGTGCGCTGGCGGCGAGGAGGTGTGGCGGAGGCGGAGGCGGCGGAGGCGACGCGGGGGAGGAGCGGGGGACGCATGGTGGGTGAAAACCGTAAGCTCAGCACGAAGGCGGAAAATCGTGGTAACACATTCTTTTCTTCGCCTGAAAGTACCGTTGGACGCATGTCACGCATCCTGTTGCTCGACGCGGCTTTTTTACCGTTGGACGCATCATGTTACTCGACGCGGGACGAGGCTCCTCTGACATACGGCCCACACACACTGAGTGTGGATCCGGACCCACACGTCAATGGCCCAACGTCAGGCGGCCGTACGTCAGGGGATCCGGCTCCCTCGACGCGGCTGAGGCTGGTCAATGGAGAGTAATGGCAACTCTAGCAGACCCGTAAAACGGCAACCCACATAAGGCTTTTGCAGTTTGCAGAAAAAGGTATATGTGGGTCGGCGCGGGCGCGGTCACACTCAGACCCCGCAAAACGGATCCGTTAAAAAAGATATTCGATGAATATGTTTTTTGCGGATCGGCTATGCAGAGTCTGCTCGGGCACCGCCGCGTCGACCCGCAAACCGAAGACGATCAATTATCGAATTTGACATTGATTCCAACAAATGAGTTCAAATTTAAACAATAGAACACAGTTCACACGCAAATAAAAGCTTAGTTTTGTAGGACAAATACAAAATGTGGTCTTGCAAAAGTGACGACCACGTCTGGCATCGTCTTGATCGATCTTCACTCCGCGTCACCGAGTCCATCGAGGTCATCGCAACCACCGAGTACACCTTTGGCACTTGTTCCAACTCCGGCACCAAAATCATCGGCTGGTGCACTGGACGCATCGGCGACATTGGTTCCAAAACCTGTTGAGAAAACATCTCCGACACTGTAACACGCACTGGCCGACGCAAGCATTCTCCTCTTCAAGATATCTTTTCTTGCCATATCATGTCA